TTATTGTTGAAAACATGTGAAACTGTAATTTTTCTTAATAATATTATCGTTCCACCCAAAAAACCAAAAAAAATAAAAATAAAAAATTAAATAATAATATTATAATAACATTATTATTATTATTAGCCCGACTAGTTAATTATTATCCATATCAGCATGACACAAAAACGGAAACAGCCTCCTTGTATAATTACAAGGGTAAGGTCTGCATATAACTGACCTCCCAAACCCCAACCCGTTTGGGAATATACTGGGTATGTTGATGTGAGCATGACACAAAAACATAGTGCTCCACAAAGACTGCTACAGTCCTATTTCACGCTCTTTGCCTCCTTTAATGCTTTTGACCTGAGTTGAATATAAAACATCTTACGTCAAAAGTTTGGGTACCAAAACAAAATTTTTGCCATAGAAATTCACACACATACAGAATTCGACGGATTTTGCCAGAGGTGGTAGCATCTAAAATTCGAGGATTTGTTTCACACAAAAATAAAGACCAAAACTAAAGGAACAAAAACTAGACTCTTCATGGAGTACAAACCTTAGTTCTTTCAACCGTTCCTCAAGTTTGTGACAACGCTCCCTGTCAATAATCGCAGACAAAAATGAGTCATAAAAGCATTCTATTCTTGTCTTTCAAACAGAACAAAATCAGATAAAATAAGAGAGTCAGAGTAGAGCGAAGAAAAGGTATCATGCATTTTGAGTGCAAAATGGATTGCAACCATGAACATCTCATTTTTTAACAATATGATGTAGCAGGAGAGGAAAACAATAACTTGATATACCTAAGTAACTGAATTCTCACCCATTTTAAATTACATCATTCATTGTTTTTCCTACTTCTAATTTTTCTTTTTTTTAATTTTTCTTTTTGAAGTTTGTTTATCGAAAAAAAAAAGAAAAAAAATTATATATTATTCTTTTTTTTAGGGCTGATCGTAGGTTAAAAAAAACATAATATATATATATATATATATATATATATATTTCGGTACACGAGAAGGAGGAAAAACGCCTAAACTACGACGATACAAACACATTGCATGAATAAGACACTCCTATTACATCATGAGCTAACCAAACATTTGCTCCCGAAGGAGGCTTATCCAAACGGTGAAAACCGCCAGGCCAAAAAATCGGCTAGAAAGTTCGATTCTCTATAGTCATGCTTAATGTCCACTTGCCATTGTCGACTCAAAAGGTCCCTAACCCCCTTTAATACGGTCGTGTGAACTCCACGGCATTCGTCTCCATTCACCATAGCAATAATACTTTGGTTATCGACCTCCACAATCACATTGCGCGCACCAATCTCCCATGCGAGCTTCAAGCCTTGAAAAAGCCCCCAAGGTTCGGCTCCAATGATTGAACAAAGGCCAATATTTATTAAAAATCCACTTAACCATTTCCCCGTATGGTCTCGAATAGCACCGCCCGCACTAGCCATCCCTGTGTGGGGAAAAAAACTCCCATCCGTGTTAACTTTCATCTGATCGACCCCAGGCGGCGACCAAGCTATCCACCTCTGTTCGCGCATCCCAACACCACCTAATGCTCTGCCACCAAGCATTGCCACTTTCATTTGGTTAAGAAAGGAGGATACCTCTCCAACGCGTTGCTCAACCGAACATTCTTTATCTTGAAAATTTTTTAAATTACGCCACCTCCACATGCGCCAAGCCGTAAGCCCGAAAATAGATTCCCAATTCTCCACAGTGGTCACCACTTTCCCAGCCAAATTCTGCCATATCCACTCGGGTAAAGAGAAGAAAATAGGCCAGCATCCCTGTGGGACCACTTTTTTCCAAGTGTTAGCAGCAGCACTATAATATCTTAATGCATGAAGAGAAGACTCATTGTTTTCAAAACAAATCTGACAACATGAATTATCAACCAGGTGTCGTCGTTGCCTCATCTCGTTGGTTAACAGGACATTTCGTGCTGCCAACCAAAGGAATTGTCGGACTCGTTGCGGACCCACCCAACGCCAAATTAATTTCCAGCAGCGATTACCTCGCAATTCCGACGGGAGTGCAAGCGCTAAGTAAGTTGACCTCGTCGTGAAGTTACCGTCCGACGAGTGTCCCCAATAGCAACTGTCTTCATCGTTGTTCTGCCGAGGGGGCAACACCGCAGCTATTCGCATCAAAAGAGTGGCTGGAATTAGGTGTTGAAATAAGCTCCAGTTCCAGCGCCCGTCGGTGGTTGCAAAAGTCGAAACCGTCGCATGAAGCAACTGTTTTGGTACAGGTCCTATGGCGCAGCTGATCAAAGGTTCGGGAAGGTTGAGCCATCTATCCCACCAGAATTTCGCTCTACCTCTGTTTCCAACCGACCATCTAGTACCCTCAATCACATTCTTCCACACGCTACGCAAAGCCTTCACCACAGCCGACCCTTGAGGGAAATAAAAACTCTCTCCCATGTTCGCCAGATTTAATCCATATTTTGCTCGAAGATCTTGCGTCCAAAGGGATTGAGGTTTCGTTAAAAAATTCCAGGTCATCTTCATGAGTAATGTTTTATTCATGCGCCTCTGGTCCTTCATTCCCTGCCCACCGTCCTCCTTCGATTTACAAACCTCCGACCATGACACTAGGCTAATACGTCGATTAGCTTCTGTACCGCCCTAAATAAAGTTTCTACATTTTCTCTCTAGGCCATCACATACTCCATATGGTAATAGAGTTGTCTGCATTGAATAATAAGGCAACACACTTAATACCGACTGCGCTAGCACCACTCTCCCCGCCATTGAAAGTGTTGAAGCTTTCCACCCAGCCATTCTTTTTTCTGTCTTTTCTAGAATCTCCATGTAGGTGTTTTTATTAACCCTTCCATGAATCATCGGCATTCCAAGATATTTTCCAAGGTTCTCAACTGTCATGAACCCCAACTGTCTCGTCAATGCCTCCCGGTCTTCATTAGCGACATTCTTCGAAAAAAATACTTGAGTCTTTGTCTCGCTGATTTTCAGCCCTGAAGCTTCACAAAATAGTTGAAGTGTAGATTTTAAGATAGCCACTTAGGTCGAGTTTGCTTCCACAAAGAAGAGCAGGTCATCTGCGAACATTAAATAAGGAATCAACACTGAGCCACGGCCCACAGTGATAGGTTTCCAGCCACCATGCATCACCAAACAATCAATCATATGAGCTAATCGTTCTATACAGAGTACAAAAAGGTATTGTGAGATTGGGTCGCCTTGACGAATAAAATTCTTCACTAAGCCTCCCATTCCATAATAATTACATAGAAGCCGACATAATTCATCACGACATTGACAAACTTAGCAGGAAAACCCACTAGCTCCAAAGACTGGCGAATGAAATCCCATCGGAGGTAGTCGTAAGCCTTTTCTAAATCAACTTTCACCACCATAAAACCTCTCCGTCCCTTCATCGTTCTCATTGAATGAATTAACTCCTGAGTGATTACAATATTGTCATGTATCTGTCTCCCGGGAACAAAGCTCGCCTGAGCAGGATTAATGATCAGTGGCAGCACGGATTTCATTCACTCCGCTAATACCTTCGTAGTCAGCTTATAAATAACATTAAGCAAACTAATCGGCCCGAATTGCTTCAAAGACATTGGATTGTCAACTTTAGGGATAAGCACAACCAACGTCTTGTTTATAGATTCCGACATCTGATCACCTCTCCATAAGTTTCGGATCGTGGAACACACCGAGGGGCCAACCTTACTCCACTTCTGTTGGAAAAATACAGCATGTAATCCATCAACCCCTGGGCTTTTCAGTGAGGGCATCTTATTTAGAGCCTGGACAATATCCAAATCTGTTACATCGCGCCCCACAGCCAAGAGTTTCCTCGCATCAATTTCTGGAAAGGAGTCCGGGATATTAAACATTGTCATTGAGTACAACGGGGTCATGTAAATATTTTTTAAGAAACTGATCGCCATCTCGTTCAAGGTCTTTTGATCGGTTACTATTCTTCCCTCATCATCTTGTAAAATATTTATTTTATTCCTCCTGCGGCGACTTTTAACGTGGCGATGATAATAAGATGTGTTCCTGTCCCCGAATAGGGTCCAGTCTCGTTGAGATTTTTTAAGCCACAATAGTTCTTCTTGGAGTAGCACATCATCAAGTTCTTTCCTCAATCGCTTGTCTAGATCGCGTAAGAAGGGATTAAAAATGAAATCTGATTTCCTTTGGATGCCCCCAATTCGACGCAACAGACGATGCTTCTTTTGAAAGATGTTTCCAAAAGTTTCTCGATTCCAAACTATGGCTCTCTTCGAGAATTCCTGCACCAAGGACTCATACCCGCCCCCATGATCCCATACATCTCCCACCAGGTCGTCAAACCCTTCATGTGTCAGCCAAGTGGCAAGGAAACGAAAAGTTTTCAGCCCCACTAATTCCATCTCTCGCTTCGAACATCGCACTAATAACGGGGTATGGTCCGAGTGGGTTCGAGGTAAATGAAGAACCATTGCATCAGGGTATGAATCAAGTCATACCTCATTAACAACAATTCTATCCAATCTCTCCGCCAACCCATTTCGAAACCAAGTGACCGCCACTCCATCAGTTCTCAATTCTTGTAAATCATGGTCGAAAATCCAGTCAGCAAAAGCGGGGCTGGTGTTACAACTCCAAAACGAGCCGCCTTGCTTTTTCGACATCCAGCTAAATTGTTTAAATTCGCCCACAAATGTCGTCTTATCCTTGGGTTAGGGCTAGCATGAACAAAAGTAACCAGAGAAGAAAAATCATCATGTCGGACATTAACATGCACATGTTGTCTACTACATTCCAGAACAAGAAGCTCCACCTTCTCTTTCCATAAAATTCAGATACCACCTGAAAAGCCTGCAGCCTCAACTCTAAAAGAGCGATCAAATCCACCGTGTCGAATAAAATTATCTGCCTTCCTTCCACTAATCCGTGGTTCTAGGATAGCTACAACATCTGGGCAATTTTGTTGCTTTAAGTTAATGAAGGCGCTTCTGAATTCATTAGAAGCTGCCCATCTTACGTTCCAGGATATTATATTCATGAACCAAAAAATTATGGAAAAAGGAGGTGACAGACGTCATAAAGAAACAGGAATTTGTGTCCCTAGGCCCTCCTCCAGCTCATGACTTCGCATATCCTTACTACCTTCGCCGCTCGTCTCATGCTGAAGTAAAACCTCATGCTGCAGATATCGAGTTGTTAAAACAGCTGCCATTTCAGAGTCTCCCGGATCAAGGACAAAGGCCACCTCAATCCCCGGAGGTAACTCTGGCTGGTCCAGTACTTGCACAACTAAGTGTTTAGATGGATCCAAATCAGATTCCATTGGTATCACAATTGGCTGCTGATTTTCTAAGTTTTGGGCCTTACTATTCTTGCCAAAATTCCCAATAGAAACTCCTCCATGGGCTGTAAAGCCCATAGGCCCCATCTCATAAGTGTTATTCCCTTCAATACCCGTGCTTGTTCCACTAGCTCCATTGTACTCCTTGCAACACCAAAGGCTATATTTTGAGATGGGCAATACTGATGTGGTTGAATTTCTTCCCCATTATCCTCGCCTACGACATTGAATCTTGAGCCCGAATTAATCGGGTTCTCTGTCCACTTTTGTCCGTGATACAAAACTCCTATTTTTTGTACATTGAATTAATCGGGTTCTCTGTCCACTTTTGTCCGTGATACAAAACTCCTATTTTTCGTACATTGTACGGTCTTCCAGTCTTGGCTATCAACCACGGCCTATACACACCGTTGGCGTCCTTCCCCGCACTTCCTGCTCCTTGTCAGAGTTAGAACTTCCCCCTTGCCCTTTAGTCTGGTGACCCTCAGTCCCACCAACTTTTACACCATTATCCCCTTCTACTTCCGTGTTCCTCTCTCCACTTACTGTATGATCTGTAGGAGGACAGTTCGGGCAACTCGATGAAGCATGGCCATAACGCCCACAAGAAAAGCATATATCGGGGATATGTTCATACTCAACCCTTTGAAGTTTGCCTCGAATCATAAATTGTGCACGCACCGGCTTAGTTAAGTCAAGCACCACTGCCAACCTAGCATACTTCCCCCTTGTCTGAGCTGCGGTTTGGTGATCGATTTTCACTACTTTGCCCACAATTTTTCTGATTGTCCGAAAGACTTTCTTGGGATACAAATGCACCGGCATCCCCAGCAAACGGATCCAAGCAACCAAGGATTTAATTTCATTGCATTTCTCGTCAAAGGTATCTATCCAAGGTTGGACATGGAGATAAATCTTAGTGTGATGCTTGGAGATTATCCAAGGTCAGTGTTGCGTGAGTTGCCTAAGAAAGAAAAAAAAATTGTGTTTATTCTTGGATTTGTGTGACTACCAAGAAAAAAAAATTATTATTTGTTTTCTTTTTGCGTGAGTTTAGTTGTAGTAGAAAAAAAAATTATTATTTTTATTTTGATTTTGTGAGTTGAGCGTGTGAAAAAAAAAATCATGTATTTTGAGCCATTAGACGAGATAGAGTGGGAGGATCTTGCAATTTTGGAAGGGTTGGAGAGGAATTTGACCCCGTGAGAGACAAAATATTTGGAGGAGTTGTACGAGCGAAAGGACTTCTAGGAGAAGTGTGAACGACGAGCCAAGACCAAGGAGTTCGCCGACGAAGAGCTAATGTTCACGTTCGATCTGTCGGGCTTCTTTGAAGACGAGGTAACCAAGGACAAGAAGGAGATGGCCGATGGCGAGTCCTTGAGGACAAGGACTCATTCGAAGGGGGGAGGAATGATGCAGAAGTGACATTCGAGGCCCAAGCACGCCGAGAGTCGATGACCGAGACGATCCAAAAAGGCCGAGAAAATGGCCAAAACCACGCATGCATGGCCTAAAAGACGAGCACGAGCCCGTATACGAGGTTCACGAGGAAGACGACGTGAGCCGTGGACACACGCATGGCCTCGGGCTTATCACACGAGGTCAAGACGCGCATGGCTGAGACTGGGAGACCCTGCAGGTCGACGACGAGGACTGGGTGAGACCCGGTATGAGACACGCGCACGATAAAGTTCGAGAGGCCTTGTGAGACGAGGAATAGTGCGCGACCAAGCACGCGGGGGCGTACACGGACGTGATACACAAACACACGAGGCAAGCCGTGCGAGCCGAGAAACGAAGATTCTAGAATATTATAATTAGATTAATTATGTAATTAGTCTTATAATTCATTGTTAATTTTTATTTAATTTGTTGGGTGTCACAAATTAATTTTTCATTTTAACAATAATTCAATATTTTGGTCATCAGAATGCAAATGGAGGTGAACAGGAGACTCCATGAACAACTAGAGGTAACGTGCCCTCTCAATCAAATTAAATAATAATTAATAATTTTTTAATTTAATTAATTAATTAAGTATTATTTGTTGAAAAAATCAGTTATAAAATATGGGTTTGACCCGATTTTGATTGAACTTTTGATGGCTAAATATTTAATTTGAGTTAAATTAAATATTGTAGAAAAATTCTACGTTCCGAGTAGATACTCGTGGTATATTTATTTTCTCAAAACTGATTTTCGGTG